CTTGACCTCCATAATATGCTGGTTGACAATATGCTGGTCGAATGTTCCACAAAGTTCGAAACTACGGTCGTAGAGCATGTCAATGTACGACATCACTTCATCTTTTATTGCAGTGTGCACTTTTACAACAAACCTTCTACCATCACGTGGTGGGGGAGGACTGAACTTTGGACCAATTTCTTTTCGACCTTCAATTTGTTCCGCATGAGTGTATTTAGCCTTTTCTATGGATGTGATCAAATAGCTTGACTTCTCACGTAAAACTTTGCATATTTTCTTATGCTTTGACCAATGGTTTTCTTGGCACGATCTGCTGCAATACGCTGCAGTAAAGCACTTTTCACACCACTTGGGTTCACACTTCTTACGACAATGTGAGCAATACGGAACGGAACAATTCAAATTACTAACGTTTTCATTTTCCCTGTTATTGTACACTGTGTTACCTTGGCATTTAGCAGATTGGAGTAAACTGGCAGGCTTTAAATACGACTTCCTCGCTTCGTCCATATCGTCATGTATGCACAGCGATTCTCCTACTTCAAACTCGCTTGCTCTCTCTACAAACCCGGGACCAACATTATCATAAATGTTGTTCAGTTCGACGACAGTTCGAGAGAACTCTTTTCTTGCAGCTCGACATACCAGACGAACTCCCCCAGCTTTGTTGCGAAAAACGCTATTCGTCGATATATTGCAACATGAATTGTTCTGGGACCAAATTCCCCACAAACCGTTATCAAAGGAGTAGTTTTCTCTGATATCTGCCTCACAATTCGTGATGTATATTCCATGGTCGTAATTGTTAAAAACGTTATTACGTATAAGCGTTACATTCGTTGAGTTCAGGATAGTGATTCCTGCTTCAACATTGTGGTGAACATCACAATTAATTACTACACATTCCAATGCTTCAGGTCCAATCACTAAGCCATGTCGACCATTGTTATGAATGCGACTGCTTTTCACCTTCAATGTCCCGCCTGCGCGCACTTCTAAGCCAACTTTCCCGTTGTTAACAAAGGAACAGTCAACAACAACCGCATTAGCTGGTCCAACACATACCAGTCCAGAATCACCGCTGCCCGTAAAATTACATTGTTCTGCACTCAAGTCCCCTTTCGTCACAACAGCAGGAAAATTGTCACCACAGGAAGTGAAGTTGCAATTAAGGATCCTGACAAACGAACCAGCTATACAACGTACCTGACATTTATTCAAATAGAATGACAGATTTGTAAGCATGCATTTCAACAAGGCAATGTTATAGTTTAACTTTAAAGAAACAGAACAATCTTTCCTTGTACCTACTAGAATACAGTTGTTCCAAAGTTCGCCAGGTGGTCCAGAATTTAAAATATATTCTTGTGATCCCAGCACCAAAACCTTTAACACATCCTTTTCTACACCCTGCGAATATATCGCTTCTCGGAATTCATCTAAACAATCGCATATAAAAATGCGTTTCTGCAAATCAAAGAAAGATTTTCCGAATGGGGCAAAATCGGAGAATATAGCCCTATTGTGATAAAAAGCTAGAGCAGCAGCTATTTCAGCACTGACTTTCTCATTCAAGCCATCAAGTGCCAGAGCTTTCAACGCATAACCCATCCAGCAATCTGGACTGCGCGTTATGTAATTATTTGCGTCTTTCAAAGCACCTTCATATTGCTTTAATTTTATGTAAGCTGTTGCACGGTTAATAAGCAATGAAAGATTGAAAGCAATATTGCTCTTTTGAGCCAGATTTATTGCCGAAGAATACGCATCTAATGCTTCTTTGTCGCGACTTTCTTTTAAACACTTATTTCCATCAAATCGCAAATTTTCAATTTTCTGTTTTAAATCAAGGTCACTAGCCTCAGGAGCAAGGTTACTAATCCCAGGATCAGGTTTTTCAGTCAGAGCTTCAAGTGAAACAAAAGGAGGTCTGCTACACCGTTGAATCTCGAACTGAAATGGCTTCGGTAAAGGAATTGGAAGTGGAAAGAGGAAATCATCAGAAACATTCTTTTCAACCGTTTCATACCCTGCTAAAGGCAGCCAGTCTAATATACGATAAGCAAAGTTCAAAGTGCGCTTTGCTTCTTCCTGCTGGTGATTTGCACTCAAATGAACCGCACATTCGTAAAGAATTTTAGCTGTTTCAGGAAACCACAATGAGTCTAGACAAACAGAGTTGACCAAAAGATTCTCCATATTTCTACAAAGATGATGACCATGCATGCAAAATTTAGACCACATAAAAAAGTGAGACGGACTACCAGGTGGATCAGAGAAAGATATTATGTTTTGTTGTATATCATTCTTTTCATCTAAACTAACATGATTACTGGGTGAAGAACATTTAGAGAATACAAACGAAAGCAACCGCACAGCATCAATAAAACTCTCTGCTTTCGATTTAGAATCAAGATTTTCCCATATTAGTTCCTGAACCAAACGATGGGTGCTGACAGAGTGCGCTTGGACATACGTAAAAAGTGAAAAGTCAGTCAACAATTTTAGAACCTGACGGGAACCTAACGGCGATGACACGCATTTACGATATGCAACGTCTTCCACTTCGGGTGTGCCAACGTTCATTAATTCTTCTTCAATCTCATTTCCATCGAAAAATGAACAAGCATTCATAAATCGAACAGCAGCCTGACCATTCGAGTTCTTCTTTATATACTCCATATTGATAAGCCATGTCGTATGAACGGCAAGACGTTCAGAATTAGATGATTCGTTACCTGCAGCACGTGCTTGTTGCTGGCTGAGCAATTGGAAACGTTCAACTTTATATTGTTTCAAATACTTTGTGAAACTGCAACTGCACATTTGAATATATGCTCCAGCTTGCTCTAAAGCAAGTGGCAGTCTCCCCAGCTCTTCACAAAGATATTCAGCAACACTCTCGACATTTTCATCACGGATTACATTAGTTCTTGAAAAAAGAAATTGCTTCGCTTCTTCAGATTGCAAACATTGCAGTTGAATACAAAAGTCCTCCTCAACAACTGAAACTTCATTAACAAGTCGTTTCGGGTTTCGTCTTGTTAGCACGATAAAATGCCCAAAGATATTCTCTTTTGAAGGAAAGGAAAGGAATTCCATCACATCAGACGAAAGATCCAGTTGATCCAAGCAGTCGAGGACTATAAGACATGGGTCATGTATAGCGCTAATTTTTCTCAGGATATTTGGCAAAGTTAAATCAAATGAATTGAGTAATGCACCAATCTTTACTGCGACGGCGTTCACAGTTTTGCTAAGATGCTTATCATCTTCAGCCGAGAACCAATAAACACCTCCCTTGTAGAAATCCTTCATCTGATGAGCATATTCGGAAACTAAGCTTGTTTTACCAATTCCACCCAAACCACAAACTGCTGCGATACGAACTTTCTTCTCGTTCGACGTTTCCTCAACTTTCAAAATACCTTTAAGCTCTTGGATTTCTTCAGTTCGACCAGCGAAATAACGATTTCGTGGGGGTGCAGTGAAGACATAGGGAATTTTCTCCTCTTCTTTAATATAAAATCTTGAAAGTTCAGTCGTACATTTCTTCTCAAGAAGTTTTATTTCTTCAGAATTTTTATTTCCCTGAATCTCGCACTTTTCTACTCGCATCCGCAGATCGTATATTTCCTTACTCAAGTTTGACTGTACTTGAGTGATTTCAAAACGAGTGTGGTCATCTGCAAAACGACAAATATTTTACCATAAATTTAAATTGTTACAACATGTTTAGATACGAACTTTCAACTTTGAACAACTATTCATGTTTCCCGATAATATATCGTCCACTACACTATACAAAAACTGTACGATTCATTAACTCGCATTGCCTTGCAACACATAGACACAACCACTGACCATAATTCACAAGACAAGTCACTTGTTGGTAAGCAAAGTTTCGAGCAAAGCGTTATCATAACTCATGCTTAAAGATCAAAGTTTGGTCATATATATTAACACAATGTGGTGTTTTCGACCTCAAATGTTTTCGACCTCAAATGTTTTCGACCTCTATGTTGTAAAATATAAACAAGATACTGTACGAGTCTTTTTGTGCGCCAAAGTCTAAGTATTTACTGTTTAATACTGTATATAATGTGTGTTTACACTAAGAGACTGACATTTACCTGTACCCTCAGAAGTACCTAGGCTTTACATGGTGTGTTTACATTTGTAACCTAACGAAAGGCCCAAGTCCCATTGAATGGCCATTATTTACATGCAAAATCAATTACTGTACAAAGTAGAAAATGACATCTGCTGAGTGGTGACATCTTGATGTCATGGAAATTAATTAACCTCAAAGCACGTCTTGGGTCAGTGAAAATGTGTTTACACTGCATGCCTGACCTGAGACTGACCTAAGACCATGTTTTCGGGCCACCTCTAATGCTTGGCCTGAAAACATGGTCTTAGGTCGGTCCTAGCGCGTTTACACTATAGGACTAACTGTTCTACTGTAGGTCGGTCTTCGGTAAGGTATAGGTCTCTAGTGTAAACGCGGCTTATGATATGCTGTATTAGTCATGAGTGTTTATATATTGTCATATCAAAAGTCATGTCTTCAAGCCACCATGTAATGTTCTGTTTATTATATAGTCCCAAGCAAACAATTGTATAAACACTAAAAGTCACGTGAACGATATCTTCACTAGTGAAGATATGGAAAATATCTCACTGTATTTTTCAGTATCTCACTCTCTACTATATAATAAAATACTGTATGCCTAGGTGGAGTTTATGTTGTCTGTGTTGTTTTGTTGTGTCAATGGATTAAATCTGTCCGCTTCAATTTTCTTCAGCAAATAGCTTTGCTAAACTCTTAGATAATTACTTATATTAAATTGAAATTAAGCAAAACTAACGGCACTAAGTCTTAGTATTAACATATACCTACAACCAAAAAATCATTTTCAAACCTGTCGTTTCTCTAAATTCCATGTCTTGATAGCTTCACAAAGTTCATCCACTTTACCTCTGAGTAAAGTCAAGACTTCAATGTCCACAGGTTGACCAAAACACAACTGGAATCCTGAAATAAAGTAAAATACTGTACTTATAGAGCCTCTTTCAAAATATAAACTACAGTTTCCAATATAGGGACATAGATAATTCTCATTATGACTTAACGATTGAAGACTACAGACTGGCAGTCAAGAGGAACTGAGCAAGTACAATAAAATATTTTGAACCAATGAGCTCCTCAATGTAGCTTGAACCTCAATAATGTAGCTGGTTTCGCTTAAATTTCCATACAGTTTCCTTTAAAAAACCTTTATACATAAAACGGACACCTATCTAATTCAGACCTATCCCTCCCCTCCTCCGTGCTAATTTCTGGCAAGTGCCTCAGTTTAAAGAATGCTATTAGTTTATTTGGCTTAATACAATACGCAGGCGACAAACAAGGACCACCTTTTTGCATAATACTAGACCAACATTGACAATGTGTTCATCAAATCTCGAAATTTGGGATATCTGAATATTACAGTAGGCATTAATTACCTTTTTCTTTCCAGCTATTTAGCTCATCACATAATTTCTGTTCATCATTAGGTGACAAGTTCACATTCTTCAATAAAGTTTCCATATTTTGAAAAGCATAAAAAAATTTTGGTTCCGTCCACTCTGCAAAGTTGCAATGTGCCCACTCGTTTCTGACATCTGATCGAACTGTCTTTGCATGAGCAGCAGCTCCTACAAATGGGGCAGCTTCACAAATCACTGATAAGACTGCAGACGTATCCATTGTTACGTCAAAGCCAGTGAACTTGGACATGAATGGTTTAACAAACAACTTTGCCAAAGACAATGCATCCTTAACTGCATAATCAAATGCACGAGGTGATCCAATGGCATCATTGTTGTTGATACTTTTATAGTTGAGGTTCAAAGTTGATGGGTGTAACTTTTTCTGGTGTCCACCAAAAACTTGTTTGTCGATTTCGGTCGGTGGTTGACATAAAACTTGATGCCACTTTGGTATTTTGGTTGCAAGAACATTTCTCAATGCAGGAGTGAGCACTTTGGTCAAACATACACCAATGACAACCCATCTTCGTTCTTCGTTTGATATGGGGGTTGTACTGGAGGCGCTAGCCATTACTGATCTACAAAATTAAACTTAGAGTTCAGAATGATACTTTCACGTCGAACTTGCACTGGGATTGTGTAGATGCGAAGGCTCTGACAAGGCTGGATTTTGGTGGTAATGACGAGGGAAGTGGAAAAATTTAGGGCTCTAGTTCACAGCTCCCATGACATGCTAGGTCTTAGAACGTACAGTACCCTCTTAAAAGTGGCAATGCGCCCAGATGCGCCCTACTTTATTATTTTACTCTCTCTAACGCCAGATGGTTTTAATTACTCGTCAGGGGGAGCGTGCTGCCACTCAATGGGTTAAAGTCAGTTATGCGACATATGCTAAATGTTATTTTCATGACATTACTACAAGGTTTCTTTTGAAACATTGCATTACACGGGTACTTGGCACAGAAATGAAAAGCTATGATGTTTTCAATTTTAGAGTCCAAAAAACTTTCTTACAAAGTGTTGAGCCGCCTTAAAGCAACACATTCAAATTGTCAAATTTTCACTTCGAATCACCATTTAACCTTTCCCAAGGGGAGGTGCATGACGTTTCAGGGAAGGGGCAAAACGATCTCATGGGGGATTGGCACCTTCCCACACCTCCCCTAAAAATCTGACCATGAGTCGCAGCTTTTAGGTCGTGAGACTCAAGCTTTGGGACTCAGGCCTTAACATATCTTTTAATTACAGGGCCTTCTGACATTACTGCCAAAATGTCCGATGATGTTGAATTTGGGTCGGACATACTATATGATGATGTCCGATGACTTTCAGCTCAGTTTTGACTCGGAAATAAGTCTGAATGACACAAATGAATATCAGCACAATCTATTAATTCTTAACGGTAAATGTTTTGAAGATATTAAATAATTTGTTTCTTTCATACTTATTTCCAAGCCAAAATTAACTTGCTTGCCAAAATAGAGTATTAAAGGCTTCGACAAGTTAAGCCCGTTTTCCACTTCACCATTTCGCTCACCGCCCCGCGCTGAATAGACCTTAGGCATAATGACGTCACAAGCCTTGAATAGCTAGCTCACTGAGTACCCGGGCTGGCTCGCCTCCATATAACAGACTTCTACTGTAACAGACTAACAGTAACACTATATTATCAGATAGTTACATATTCTTAACAGTAACAATTTGAGAAAACAAAAATTAATTTATTTCCCGCCTTTTTCATTATTTATTCTGTGTCAAATAAAGTAAAGGAAGTTTGATTAAATTGATAAATGTAGCAAAATACAAAAAAAGTACATAAATTTTATTAGAAATAACCATGAAAACGATGACACAACTACAGAATTATAATGAATGTCTAATTTTAAAAGTAATCAAAACACTTTTTCGATACCGTGCAGTATCGACTACTTCCAGTTTGGGCCTGGTATTGGGTGGTATCGATACCAAGTAATCGGTAATCGCCCACCACTAACAAAAAGTAAAATTGTCTAAATACCAATATGTCTCAGAAACCCCTGGCTATATGCATGTAGATATATAACAATGATGAGCAAAACCAGTGTAACTTTTCTTTCTTATTCACATCAACGTTTTCCTGCTCTACTTAAAATAAAGGTTTACTCAAAGTCGTATCGTATTCCACAATTTATTTTAGCAACTCCACAATTAGGGGTCACGTCTATATTCATGTTACCACAAATAACGTCAAATCGACGCTATTATTTCACCCACCCACCCACCCGACTGTCGATTGTCGTAATAACGACAATCGATATTCAGTCGTATTTTGAAAACTAAACTCACAATTATTGTACTCTACTACCCTCATTGGCTGGAATTGCATTTTGATACAATATTTAAACAAATGAATATACAATATTCGGATATACTGGGATGATTATTTTGGACATTAATTGTGAAATTGCCACAAGATAACGTCGACAAGTTCACATAAAAACCGACATACCTACTCATAACGTTGATTCAACGTTATTTGTAGCAGCATGAGTATGAACGTGGCCCCTTAGCCTTTCTCCATTTTCCCGCCATTTTTGAGGACCACGAAATACAACTTTTTTAATATTAATTGCAGTTGTTTATACACGGTGTCTCAAAAAAAACAAAAAACAAAAAAAAACGCTATGTAAATTCAACAGGCTGTTGTGCGTCACAAACTTAGCTAAATAATTCAATTTTTACATAGGACGAAAGAGCTGTTATTTAGCTTTTCTATGATACCTTTCATAAACCGTAACGATGAGAAATGGCCACATACTCGTCAAATAAAAATTGTCGGTCGAAATCACATTCTTCCACTGTTGGGAATTGAAAATACATTAATTATGCGAAGTTAGACTACGACATAGCGGTAAATCCAAAGACAACGCGAGCCCGCTGCAAGGTATTTGTTTCTTAAAACGTTTTGATTACGAATGTTCTCTGTTCAGTGGTAAATTGAACCACGCTTAAGGCAATAATCAGGGTTTATTTTAACGTGCAGTTCTACACAAAATGTGCTGTTCTAAACCCATTTGTGCAGTTCTTAAAACACAAATGTGCAGTCACCAAACTAACAAAAATAGCCTTAATTAAAACAGTCTTCTCATTTACTCGTTACCTTTGTGGATGCTCCAGAAAATTCCAGAAATGCTGTCATTAATTGAGCATCAAAAATATAAACGTTCTCTGAGGGAGGACTCCAGACAC